AAAAACGGAAACCCTCTTTTTCTAAAACAAACACCCAAAGGATTAGTTGTTCTTGGGAAGAACATCCTATTAGTGTTGTAAGAAAATCTGCAACATTTTGGACTTGTTTTCCATTCATTGCCAGGTGTATTGTGTGTTAGCGGTGTCCAGGTGAAAATCTGTTTTCTTAGGGATTGAACTGCTTCTTGATGTGAGATTTATGAGGGGGTCTGATCAGCCAGATGTAGGGATGTCTGTTATGCTTTCACCTGCTTCTCTGGGCTAATGACTAGGAGGCAGCATCCTGTCTGCAGATTAGGAGCACTCCAGGTGGGAATGAAAACATTCAGGAACTAGACCTCAATCTACTGAAATCACTGATTTTCCTAAAAGACTGTGCATGACTAAGTCCAGGCTATCTTCAGATGAATGGGAGTACTGTGAACCACATAAACAGATTCTGTCCTCTTGTTTATGGTTCTGATCACTGTTGAGTCAAAGTGTTTACTACAGAAGCATAGCCTCTTCAAGAGTCATCTAAGAAAAAAAGACTATTGATTCAAACAAAAGGTTTGTGACATGCAGCACACCACTCTATCTCTTCCTTGAGATTTCACAGTGCACATGTCATGTTAGGAACTCTGAGATGTCTTATAATCAAGATTTATAATCCAGGTCTCTCTCTCTCTCTCTCTCTCGCACACGCTTTTTTTTTTTTTTTAAATTATTTATTGTTTAATGTATTACATAAGTCTCCTTTTCCCCCCATTGACCTCTCCCCAGCCAGCCCCAACCCCCAGCACAAGCCCTCAACCCCCCAACCCCCATCTGTGTCCATATGCATGCATACAAGTCCTTTGGTTGATCACTTACTCCCTCAGCCCCCCACCCTCCACCTTCCCTCATAGGTTGGACAGTCTGTTCGATGCTTCTATGACTCTGGTTCTGTTTCTCTTTATCAGTTTATGTTGTTCATTATAGTCCACAAATGAGTGAGATCATGTGATACTTAACTTTCTCTGACTGGCTTATTTCGCTTAGCATAATGCTCTCCAGTTCCATCCATGATTTTGAGAATGGTAAGAATTCCTTCTTTTTCACAGCAGCGTAGTATTCCATTGTGTAGATGTGCCACAGTTTTCTAATCCACTCACCTGCTGATTAATCTAGGTCTTTTGATCTTTGTGTAACTTGGCCCTTCTCAACTTACTGAAGTATGTGGTATTTCTTTTCACATTAACATTCATAAATACCCCTAAAGAATTTGTGTTCTGAGGAATCAACATTCAGAATCACTTGTCTGAGTCATATTTGCTTTCCTCATTTCTGCCTGGCCTTCTAAGGGATGTGTGTGTGTGTGTGTGTGTGTGTGTGTGTCCATATTTGCTTTCCTCATTTCTGCCTGGCTTTCTAAGGGATGTGTGTGTGTGTGTAAAATGGGTAGATGAGGGAAAGGTTGGGATTTTTAACTGAACTAACTGAAAAAAGAAATTCAAAAGAGATGGACTAAAAAATAAAAGCAAAAGCAAAGACCCCCCAAACCAGAAACACCACAAAATTTAGTTAGTATTTACTGAGGACATAGTATCAGGTACAGTTTTAAGTGCTTTATAATTATGAAAACATTTAATCCTCAAAACAACCCCATGAGGTAACTACTACTTTTATTCACATGTAATAGGTAAGGAAAGCTGAGGCTCAGAGAGAGTAAGTGGAGAAGGCAGTGGAGAACTCACAAGTTGAGCTCAGGCTAGCTGGTTTTAGAATCAGTCCCCAATCAATCAACATTTTGTCCTCTGAACTCTCCAAAGAGAGACAAGCCAGAGACCCCACATTTCCCCAGCACGGAGACATGAGTCTGTCATTATTGGTTCCCACAGGAGCCCTGGTCACCCCTAGCCCTGTTCATAGAGCCCCTCTGCACTTTCCAGCTATGTGACTTTGGAATGTGACTTAACCTCTCTCTGTTTCAGGTTATTTTCACATATAAACATAAAAGAAAAAGAAAAAATATATACACACTTTAGAGGATGCTGTAGGGCAGTGATGGTGAACCTATGACATGCGAACTTATTTTTTTTGGTTGATTTTTCTTTGTTAAATGGCATTTAAATATATAAAATAAATATCAAAAATATAAGTCTTTGTTTTACTATGGTTGCAAATATCAAAAAATTTCTATATGTGACACGGCACCAGAGTTAAGTTAGGGTTTTTCAAAATGTTGACACGCCAAGCTCTAAAGGTTCGCCATCACTGCTGTAGGGCATACTCAATATGTATACTATTGCTGAGTTAGTCTCACAATTCTACTCTGTCAGAATAACATAGCACCACTCTCCAGCTAAATATTGCAGATTCTTTAACTGTGTTTCCCAAACTATGGCCTTCAGAATGCTTTCCCTTCTGCTATTTTAAACAGCTCTTATGCCAATGTGTGGCATTTTGAGTGCTCTTTCTTGAATAAATCACAAGAAGAGTTTTTTTTCTTATAGTCCTTAAAAGGCTACATTTAATTGCATAAGAGATTAAATGGTCAGTACCAGTATATACTAAAATGTTAGACCTACTAGTAAAAAGAATTTTATTTTGAAAAGTTTGTTTCTGGCCATCTGGCGTGGCTCAGTGGTTGAGTGTCGACCTATGAACCAGGAAATCACTGTTCGATTCTGGTCAGGGCACATGTCAGGGTTGCAGGCTTGATCTCCAGTAGCGGGCATGCAGGAGGCAGCCAATCAATGATTCTC